TTTAGAGACAGGATCTTGCTCTGTCGTCCAGGCTGGAGTGCAGTGGCATGATCATAGCTCACTGCAGCCTCAAACTCCTGGGCTCAAGTGATCCTCTCACCTCAGTTTTCTGAGTAGCTGGAACTACAGGTGGGCACCACCATACCTGGCTAATTTTTAAAAATTTTTTTGTAGAGACAGGGCAACAGATTTTCAATGTAGACAAAACAGGCTTCTCTTGGAAGAAGGTGCCATCTAGGACTTTCATAGCTAGAGAGGAGAAGTCAATGCCTGGCTTCAAAGAACAGGCTGCCTTTTTGTTAGGGGCTAATGTAGCTGGTGACTGTAGCAGCAGGGATTGACTCCAATTTTGAAAGAAGTTCTACTGTGGGTAAAATGCTATTAAACGGTATTGTGTGCTACAGAAAAATCTTTCATGAAAGGAAGAGTCACCCGATGCAGCAAACTCCATTGTCTTATTTTAAGAAACTGCCACAGCCACCCCAACCTTTAGCAACCACCGACTTGATCAGTCAGCAACCATCACCATCAAGGCAAGACCTATCACCAGCAAAAAGATTATGACGTACTGAGGGCTCAGATGATCATTAGCATTTTTTAGCAAAAAAAGTATTTTTAAATTAAGGTATGTACCTTGTTTTTTTAGACATAATGCTACTGTACACTTAATGGACTATAGTACAGTATAAAAAATTCATGTGCCTCTCTTTAAGGCAGTGGTCTGGAACCAAACCTGAAATATCTCAGAAGTATGCCAGTACTTCAGTCTCGACCTCAAGGTTAATATCTCAGAGGTCTTTCCTGAACCCAATAACCATCAGTCTGTCCCCTCAATCCTGTTAGTTATTCTTAGAACACTACTGCTTTTTCCTTCATGGTACTTACCATCATTTATGTAGTTGACCCTGGAACAACGCAGGGTTAAGGGTATCAACCCCCTGCACAGTTGAAAATCCATGTTTTAACTGTTTTTTTTTTCCCCCAGAATATTATGGGGGTACTAATGTTTTGGTTACATGATTTGCTTCTGTGAAGTTAGAGTCAAAGTCATATGTATGCCTATCACCAAGATAGTGTGCACTGTGCCCAGTAGGTGTAAATTTACCCATCCCCTCCTCCCCATTCCCACCTACTTGGTTTCCGTTGAGTTTTACTACTATATGCGCACATGGGTGTTGATTGATTAGCTCCAATTTAATAGTGAATACATGTGGTATTTGTTTTTCCATTCTTGCCATACTTCACTTAGAAGAATGGTCTCCAACTCCATCCGGTTGTTATAAAAGGTTCACCATTTTTTTCATGTTTAACTTTTAATTCCCCCAAAACTTAATTACTAATGCCTACTGTTGACTGGAAGCCTTACTGATAGTACTGCATTATATTTATTGATACGTTAAGTTTGCGTTATTTGTTTACAAGATGAATCATCTGTCTGAAATGTGTGGAACCACAGCTGCAGACCTCAATCTACGGTATATATCAAGCAATTCATCTTTTTCCTGTAATGTCATGACTTTTCTTTGCTTCTTAAGAGCATTTCCAGCATCACTAGTGGCACTTCGTATGGGTTCCATGGTGTTATTCAAGGTTTATGTATGGCGCTAAACATGATGAAATATACATGAAAACTGCAAGAGATCACTTTTTATTGCAATATACAATTCACTGGAGACCAACTGCTCAAGGGGAGATGACTAGCATCACACAGCGTTTTAAGCAGATACTTTCAACACTTGAGCTCACCACAATAGCAACAGGAGGTGGCTATGAAATTATTACAGTCATACAGTAGGTACTACAGATAATTTTATGCAGTTATGATTTAATACTGCATCGTTACACATGTTTACATTTTCTCAACTGCAAATGGTGCCATGTGTGTTCTGTAAGTGTTTGTGTGTGTTGGTTTTGATAAATTTAAAGTTTTTATAATAGTCTTGTATATATTGTATGGTAGTAAATGATAAATAAGACCAGTATCTACACATATTTTATGCATTCATGATATACCTTAACTTTTCCTTAATTTTTTTGGTATTTTCACAGTTCATCTGGAATACACAGTTCATCTGATTTTTTTTCAAATTGTCGCAAATCTCCAAAAATTTTTCCAATATATTTACTGAAAAAAATCTGTGTATAAGTGGACCCATGCAATTCAAACTTGTGTTGTTCAAGGGTCAACTGTAATCTTACATTTCTGCTTTTATCTGTTTAATGTCTATTTTCCCCATTATACTGTATACTCAATGTAGGTCTGTTCATGATTTTATTACCTAGTGCCTATCCCAGTGCTTTATATATAGTCAGCATTCAATAAATATCTGTTAAATGAATGAAGGCAGGTTAGAACTCTGAAGAAGCAGAGTTATAGTAAAAATATTAGCATACAGAGAATTTTATTTTATTGCAATATATCCTAGAGCTCAAAGTATCTATGCCAGTTTAACTAGAATACATGAAACTTCTTCCATACAAAGAGTATGTACCCAAATCCACAGATTGTAACGGGTAGTTAATAAACTAAGTGATTTGCCTTACCAGTCCTGCATGGGAATAACTAAATCCTGCTTCTCGGGACACAGACCAATTGGCGTGTTCTTCAATCACTGACATATCTGGAAACTTTACCACACTGCTGAACCAGTCAAACTCCAACTCTAAACATGGAGTTTCCTAAGACATGGGAGAAAAGTTATTTTTTTTTAAATATAT